ATTGGGGCGTATTGTAGCCGTAGGGCATTAGCTACTTCTTCGGCGCTTTGTACTCTACTGCCTGTCTTGAAATGTGGAGGGATTCCATGCTACACTTTATGAAGATTATTGACATGCCTATATAGCAGTTTGTTGTTTGCCATAAATTTTTTGGCTAGGCACTTGATAAGTTACTTTGTCTTCACGGACAAGTGCAGTGCAATGGTTGCGATGGTTTAGGAAATTGTCCCAAGTCTTTAAGTCGGGGTTAATCTTGTAGGCACGCCATGCTGCATCCCTTATCGCCAGGCATTTTCGAGTCCTGCTCCTTAGAATTGAAGGTATTTTTGCGGGGCGAAATAGTTTGGTCTCTGATGCTCTGTTGTCCAAACGTTGTCAAGGGGATTGTTGTTTGAGAATTCCCAAGCAGCTGTGTCGATGAGTTCCTTCAATAAGTGGTAGCGTGTGATTGTATGAGTTAGTTCCGAGTGTTCAGATAGATACTCTGCATAACACATAGTTGAACGTTGTTACTACATGGTCACTGAGACCTAATGGACTATCCATCAATAACTTGTCAACCATGAGCTTTTCACTCGTGAGCACAAGGTCCAATGTGGACGGTTTGTTTGGTGTCCTGAATCTAGTGGACATGGTGACATAATTGCACAAGGGAATATTAGCGATCAGTTCATGTAAGTTTGTTTTGAATTGTTCTACGGCTGATTCCGAGACCTCCAGATCGTGTAGATTGAAGTCTCCGGAGATGAGAATGTGGCTGTTCCTAGTGCGTGTTACTCTGTTCAGGCCACGTATCAAGCATGAGTCTATTTCCGAAGTGGACGTTGGGGGACGGTAAACGATAGTTACTAGACATGCATCGTTGTGTCTTTGTCGGAGACGGCACCAGTGAGTCGGTAACTTGTGTTTTCAAATCATCAAGTATTGCACATTGCAGATCGCTGCGATAGTAGAGTAGGACCCCACCTTCTCTCCTGGGGCGGTCGTTCTAGATGAGCGACATTCCGGCTACCTGAATCTCAGCATCAGTCACCTCTTGGTGTAACCAAGTTTCGGTAATAGAAATTAGGTCCCAAGCATTCGCAACCTGACGTAGCCGAAGTTCGGTAAGTTTGCTGAGGAGCCCTTGGGCGTTAGTGTACATACATGAAAGTTTCTCAGATTTAAGCAATGTTCCGGAGGTTGTGCAATTCATATGTGGCATCCAGTGGGACAAAAGGTCGTACTGGAGGGGAAAGTTGGTAGTAAGCACGTAAAATGAGCAATTTCTCTCCATTGTCAAAGCGAATATCATCATACCCATGCGGTTCACCGAGGTGGCGTTCACATAGTAGTAGCTGTGGTAGCTGCGATAATAATGATGCATGTTTTTGGCGCCCTTAGGAGCAGCTCATGAAAATGTTGATAGAACTGGTTCTAGACTGCATCCAAATTGCAGTCAATGGGCGCGTAGGCGTTGATCACAAAAAGCACATTTGTTTGCTCGATGTCTGCTAATCTTGCAAGAGCTCTATAGCGCAAATGCGACTTGATCGGAATTCAATCAAGGAGGCGCCCTCGGTTCTGGCTCTGAGGGCGATCGCAACACCAGCTTGCCGAAATGGAACAGACTCAGCGTCACCAGTAAGACGAAAATGGAAGCGGCTGTGTGGTTGGACTGATGACGACAGCTGGTAGATTGTGTTGAAATCCTGGAGCCATGTTTCACTTAGATTGCAAACATCGATTGCAAGGGTCTTCAGCGTACGTGCAAGTCCAGATTGCTGCTCGATCTGCAATAATGCGCACATGTTAAAGGTTGCCAGTTTGAACTGCATTCCAGTTTGCAGTAGCGAAGATGGCAGACTTCGGGGCTAGTAGGTCCCTGCCGATGACTGTGTGGTTGAGATGACGGGCGGTAAGAGAACAACTTCATAGGCGGAGGTAGGGTTGTTCACCGTTGGAGAATCAAACGAAGGGTAGTTAAATGGTGGCGTGTGTTCGTAAAGTTGGCGTAATAGCATGGCAGTGATTCACCATGGGGAGTGGAGGAGAGTGAACGTAGCTATGGGGTTCCATGGTTCGTCAGTAGGATATAGTACCCAGTTATCTAGGCCGAAGTAGGTGGGTTTTCTTAGGGCACCATGGCCCGAACCTTTGGCCAAAGGGCCTAATTTACAAGGCAGCAGGACGAGATAAGTGCTTTGCATCCGTTGGGAGGCGGTGATTGAACAATTAGTTCATACGCCCTTCAGATGTCGAAAAGCAATACCAGTGGTCAAACACTTCGGAAGTCAAAGACAGAGTCCGATGCTCAGATTGCCTCGTGATGTAACATGTCTCCTAGGAAGGCAAGGGGCAGTGGCTCTATGTAATGGCGAGTCATCGCCACGTCGCAGTGGCGTTTTTCATAGGGAGAACGATTGCCAAGCGTAAACCCACCACGTCCTGCAATACCGCTGCCGAACAATACGCCGGAATGGAACTACTCGAACTGCCCAGCTGGCACCACGAGGTTGTTTGGCAATCCTGGAGATCGAAGCTATGACAGAGGGGCTGCACCTGGTTGGAACAGTATTTTGCTCCCGCAATTTCTCTATGAAATCGTGTTGACCATTCACGGGAGCACGTCCCCCGAATTTGAAGAGGACGAGGAGGATTACTAGTCCCGCGGCTTTGTGCAACTTCAGCAGTCTGATTACACGTTCGGCTTCGGAGCGAAGTGGTAGACCCAAATAGACGGTCCAGAGCTTAAGGCGTTTACTAGTCGGCAGCGGATGTAGTAGTTCCTGACAATTACATTTCTTTTCTAGTGTTCAGCCCAACGCTCCAGATGTTTTGACAGGTTGTGGGTAGGTTGTTTACTCTTATCGCATATGTTCTCGCTTTCACTAGGTCTCCAGCTGTCCGTTTCGCGTATCAGACAGAATAACTTCCTCTGGTTACCAAGGGCAGCGGATGTTTCCTTCTCCGACGCTTGACGTGACCACGGCTTCGTGATCTCTCTTACATTTGCACACAGTTATGCTTTGGTGGTTTCTCGAGTCTCATTGTGTTCCCTCTCAACCGGTGTGTGTCGGTGTGCATGCATTGAGGCTCATTGTCGAGGTTGGTAACCAGATTTGCTACATGAAGACATACCTGTTACTAATGATGTTTGGCAAATGCGCGACATTGACCTTTAACTGTGTCCACTACGTACGTACACAGCCCGGATGCTAGCCTGCTTTGGTACGCATTCAGAACATTGATTTTGCCATTTGACGGATTCCTCTATGCTTAAAGCGTTATCACTGGCGTCCATCGAAACCTATCTAGAGATCAGCATGCACAACTGCATGGTCAAAGTCCGCGATTGTGCTCCATATTGATCGGTAGATTCGGACACTGCCTGTCCAGCGGTAACTTATCTAGGTGTGATCGGTTTGCACCTATGGGTGATAGTCACCAAGTCACCGCGCGGTGGGTGCGGTGTCGGAAATGAGTACTTGTGAGGAATAGACGAGCATCTTCACATAGGTGTAACGACCGCTCACCGTTATCACCACGGAGCCTACACTGTGTTGGCCTTCTAGATACAGCTCACCGATGGACATTTTTTCAATTTGGGTGCTCACACCACCAGTCAGCACTACAGTATCTGTGCTTAGTTTGTGACGAAGGAGCTCGTTCAGCTGATGATGAAAGTCATCCTCCACCTAGTCAGCGCCGCAGTTCGGGAGGCATAGACAGCAGTGAAATACAGACACTTATTAGCCTCGTGCGACTTTAAAGCTTTCAAAGAGCTAACTAGTCGAACGGCGCATGTGAGGCTACTGACTGGGATCCATTTTACTTGAGCGGCTTCTGGCAGGGAGCTCAGAGCAATACATCTAATTGATCGGCATTCGAAGCTGTCATCTCTGGGTAGACGCAGTGAAAAAGTACCGCCAGTATCACTTTGTGGGGATCGTCGAGTGAGCATAGAGCTCGAGTCCTGTGGGTGGGTTTCTGATAAACAACATATGTCGATCTATAGGGTCTCTAGTCTTCAGACAAATACCGCCTGTTGACCGATTTGCGACAAAGTGCGCACGTTGAGGTATGCCAGTCTTATAGAGAACTGCAGACTCCAAATAGGAATGGGTGAAATGAAGTTGTCCGCATGGTTGGACATGGATTTGTCGACCGTACAGAAGTGACGCTTAGCAATTGTGTGTGCTTTACAATTAGAGCACAAACGTATAAGGTGGGGAGAGTGAAGAATTGAGAGGGATGAAAATGTACTTGGAACGGGCGACAGGGATGAGAAAACGCGAGATGAGGAGTAAGAATATGGGAAGGCGTGAGCAGTAGCATCCATATGCAGCCTGCTCGATGCAGTCGATAGGGCGCCGTTGATTATCCGCTTCGACGGCCAGAGCATAAAGCAATTGTTTAAGGAAATTAAAGCTGCAAGGACATACCTCGCCAATATCATCCTAGCTTCACACGACATAGTCAGAATGTTGAATCCACACAGCGTACTTGTCTCAGGCCTGAACGTTTGTTCAGTACGCCGAAGTCCTACATCGTGTCTCTTCATCCTATTTCTTATCCTTTATTAATATGAAAAACCATGTATTAGATTGGCAGCAATGAATCATTACCCAGTACATGTGTTTACCGCTGATTGCGTTTGGCTTACAGCCTAGCTGATTTAAAACTGACTGTAGCAACCTTGTTGGAGGTTCACAAAGTTAAACCGGATGCTCGCCATTGGTTATGCAAAAAAGAATGCAGATACGTTTGTTAACAAAAGTAGATTTTGATGGTGTTCCGAGGTTGAACTTCTTAATGGATCACGAATGAAACGTGTGCTTACCGTAATCACTGCGAGATTGTCGTTATAACTATCGTACACTCACAATTTATAGTGTGAACAGCAGATGACAACCTTGAATTTCAGGTGAATTAAGGTACATGCGTAGTATCTTTTTTATCCAGCGATGATTTTCTGAAACGAAGCAACTAACATGCACCACTTAATCATTCTTTTGCAGCCGGAAGCCACAGATGAACCAAACCATCATCCTATTACTACCGAAGTTAACGCGATAGACGAGTGCGGAGAAGTGAACGCATTCCTTCGTGATGCTCCCGCTCTACTCCCATCCCTGAACTTTATCGGTATTGGTGGAAGTTACTCGTTTCTGTGCCTGACCACACTTTTATCGCTATGTCGACATCTTGGACGCCGGTCGAGTTCACATACCGACGTCAGTAGCCAACACTTTAAGCTACTGATTGATGAATCTTGTTGCCGATTCGACGATCCCATTTCGAACGATGCTCCTGCGACAGTGATCGCTTGGCACTCAGCTATCTTGGCGACTGGAAATAACATGACGCGACGAAAAGCAGCAACCCAACAGTGCATTTCCGCCGCGCTTGCACAACTCAAATGGTGTTTCCTTAACACAGCGCAGTTTCAGAGTGAAATGATGCACTACCTGGACCGACACTCTTCTTCTGCTACGACGTAGTAAGTGCACTGACCACGATTTCCCGAAACGCCACTTTGTCTTTCGCTACTTTTCAACTACTTGCGTCCCGTCGCAACTCGAATACAAACTATTTTCCTGCTCGCACTTATCAGTTACCTGATTTTCACAGCTCGGTTCATGCTTCTCTCAGAGGGAATGCTATTCCAGTCGCTCTTTGTAAATCCCGCTTTTCATCGTAGTTTTCATCTTGCCTTATTTGATAAAACCCTGCTAACAATACTCACATATTTGTTGTTCGAAATCCTTAAAATCCACACCTGCATAGTAGTTAAGAGTGTCAGTTTCGTGGTGAGGCACGCAAACGTAGACCATATTTTTGACTCATAATGGGGCGGATAATAACAAAAAGAAACCCATGAAGTGAATTAATCGTACCTTAGTCACGGCTGTATAGTGAACGAGGCACCTAAAATTAATCACTTTATTGCTTCATATCGCCAAAGCCCGAAAGGCCTTTACCAGCTTCAGACAGTTGTAGCGCCGTCACTAAATTTCGCTCTTTTCAAAGGGTGGGGTTAACAATGCCTATTCGCGCCATATTCTTGTACGGATGCGAATTCAGACCGATCCGGATAGATGACTTGCGTGAGCTTTCGATCTTTAACAGTGACTGTTTGAAGAGGAACGCCAGTGTATGATTGCAACGCCGAGTGCATAATGTGCAAAGGGAGCTTTCTGTCTATAACCTTGTTTTGCACCAATTGTAGTGGTTTGGCTACTTCTTTCGCATACCTATCCAACGATTCCCAGTGCTACATTGGGACGGGCCGTGTGTACGCCAACTTGGCTACGAAGCATAAAATATATATAACTTAGGTCACATCATATATCTTGCTTAGTTTCCGCTGGCCCGATACGTTATCCCGGTTAGGGACCGAAAATATGCCAGTGGCGCAAAACCGGTTGCAGTAAGAACAATGTATGTTAGTCTGCATGAACCCAAGATCCTAAGAGTTGGTGTACTAAAAACTCAGAAACCAGGAAATTCAAACGTCTTCTTGCGAGAAGAATCGGGGAGTTTTGGTCCTGGTCGATCTTGAATGTTCGAATCAGACTGAAACGGCGTCAAGATGTGGCATCCAACACGTGGACCTCCTGAAGCGTGCATTCGGACGATTCGGCCTTTCAATTTTTGCAGTTTCTCCGCTCACACATACGTCCACATGTGGAATACTCCATACAGGTCTGGCAGCCCTGGCTGTGGAGCGACCTTACCGCCTTGAAGCTACCCTAACGCCGGACAACCAAGGATATCAAGGGCCTTCATAATTTCCCGTATGAACGAATGTTTCAAGTGCTCGGGGTCTTAAGCGGACAGTATTGGCGATTGCGCGGGGACCTCATTTAATCTTACTAGATTTTGAGAGATCCCAAACACACGTGCCGCTACTTGCTAGAGCTCAGTCACAATAGCAATTTGAGAGGCCACCATCTCAAGCTGGCGGAGCAGTACAGTCGTTTGGAGTGCCGTCGGAATTCGTTTTCCGTACGCGTTTACAGAACATGGAATCTGTCATATGTGATCACATGCTGGCAGAGTTCAAGGCCCGAGTTGGTCGTGCACTCATTTCGTCGCACCATCTCACATGACTCATTACCACTAGCGACCAAATCCCAGATTTCGTTCCACTTTTATGTCCTGTATGTATACACCAGGAGGAGACACGATTATTACCAACATCCCATTTGCTGTCATTCGTTATGGATTTACAGCCTAGACTACGTATACCTCATTGGGTTCCCAGGCGTAAACCAAATTTTGCTAACAATTTTCCCATATTTTGAAGTCTGACCATGAATGTCGCAGAACTCGGACTTTCAGGGGCAAACAGTTTATTCGGCAAAGCGAGCTCAGCAAAAATGACAACCTGACAAGCGTGTAGGAACCTCAATACAAACGACCAAGTCAGTTCCAGAACCAACGACGCTGCTGCACTCATAAGATTCTTCCTTTGAAACAGTTAAACAAACCGGCTCCAGCGAACCAATAAGCGCGTAGACGTAATATGCGCAGGCGTCCAGCCAACTGCTCTGTTCGCTTATGGCACGTTAGCCACTTGCTTGCACAATTCCATCACATCCTTTTTCGGGATCAGTTGAATCGGTGTCGCAGAAGACTCCGTATGCTCTTCCGCTCCGTGTCGTCTTCGCTGCTTCTGTCGTTGTGACTTCTCCGGAAGGCGTCAAGATTATTGCTACAGGTTCACATTCTCGTTACCGGTGTCTCCTCAGCTGCACTCGGTTCCTTCTGATTACTTTCCCTCCGGTACTGAATTTATAAGAACTTTCTCCAACCTTCGCGATCACCACACCTTTTTTCATCGTACGCTGACATCAGGTATTGGTTGGCTCCACACTTCATCATTTACTGATAGCTCCGGTAGCGTCCGCGTCCCGCGGTCATAATACCGTTTCTGATCTATCATCCGTTTTCTTATGCCCCTTTGCAGTTGCTCATGCGATGGCGAGACAGGGTGTAAGGGTTTAGCAGACGTAGGCATTAGGGTTCTTGTCCTTCTGCTGTACAAATGTTGCGCTGGAGTGAGACCGATGTTCGGTAATGACGTATCGCGAATCTCCAAAAACATTAGATACAAGTCCTCATTGGTGGCTCTAGCTTTCAACAACAGCTTTTTGGCTTGTTCGACCGCTGCCTCTGCTTTCCCGTTAGACTGACTGTGATACGGGCTCGTTTGTCGATACGAAAATTCCCACGTGTTTACAAAGGTCTGGAACGCAGCACTTGTAAATTGTGGGCCATTGTCGGAGATCAGTTTCTCCGGTATTCCGTGTCTGGCGAACTGACATGTAAGCTTGTTGATGACTGCTTCCGTGGTGGTAACGGTGAGTGGGTCGATCTCAAAGTAGTCACTGTAATAGTCCACAGTGATTAAATAGTCATTCCCGTTGTTACAGAACAACTCCATCGCTACTTTCTGTCATGGTCGATCTGGAATCTCACGCAACATCATTGGTTCTCTGGGTTGGCGAGCATCGTGGGACCGGCAGGCTGAACAGCTTGATACACGGTTTCAGATTTGATTTGTCATCCCGGGCCAGAACATCAGTTCGCATGCTCTACTAATACTGCAGTTGACACCCAAGTGAGCTCGATGAGCCTGTTCTAGCATTTCTCTGCGAAGCCGCGGTGGGATCAAAATGCGAAACCTTCTAAGGTTAGGCAACCCAGTAGCCCAAGTGGGACAAATACAAAATTGAAGATGGAAAAAAAGTAAATAAAATACAGATAAGCAGGGTCAGAAGTTAATGTACGAGGTGACATTTAAGCCGAGCAGAATTTTGAATGCGGTAGACGTGAGGCTCGACTTTTAGAGTTCTATGGGACCTTTAATAAATATCATCTAAATGTAGATTCGCCCAGTACACATTATATCTTCTCTACGGTGAGGTGGTTGAATACTTATGCACGAAATATATGCTTGGTGTTGTCGCATCTAATGGATTCGGGCATCTCATTTCATAACGTTGTATATCTTAGAAGAAAGAATTCGGAGCGCAACCTTGTACGCATTCTAGGGACGCGAAATCTAGATGATGTATTTCTAGTTGGATATCGATGGAAAGTGCCAAACTGGACAGTATCTGGTTCTCTAGAATTGGTATGAACTAAATTAAACAGGAAGATTAGATAATTCTTAATTCTCCTCAACCATAATGGTTCTAATTTCAGCAGTTTACACCGTCATTGATAAGTCAAGGATCCAAACCCGAGTAATCATTTGGCAAAGGACCGTTGCACTTTTTCAAGATTGATTTTGTCGCACATTTTCCAGTTTGTGAATACAAATGGACAATATTCTAAGACTGGACGCGCATATGCTTTATACATAGCTACCCTATTCTTGTAGGCATCACATATTGAAAATCCATGCTATGATATATCGCTTTAGCGGTCACATGATGTACCTGTTCAGAGAAATTGAAGGAGCTTGAGAAGCGAACTCCGAGGTCACGAATTGTTGTGCAGCAGATAATTGGTTTGTCATCTAACGTCAGTATGTCATTAATAGGGTTCCATCTTAAGAATAGGGCTTTAAATTTGCCAACATATAATGTCATTTTCTACTCTCGGCACCACCGCTGAAGGGTGAAGAACTCCATCTGTATTGTTTGAGCGCCGTTTGGTTCATTTATGCTATCAAAAGCGAACACAACTTTGATATCATCCGCGAGAAGAAAGGGTCTGCCATGTCGGAAGATTCGGGAAATGTTATGTATTGTGAGAATAGCTGGGGGTCTAAAACGCTTCCCTGTATGACGCCGCTGGTTAACTGGTATAGGTGAAGACACGCAGTTTCCCACTCTGACACATTGAGTGCGTGTAGACAAGAAGACAGCCATGCTAGTAAACCCATAAGAGGCTACGCTTGTTAGAAGCTCTGCTTGGGGTACACGGTCGAATGCTTTTCCTGTCTAAGAAAAGGATAACTACCGACTGTCCGGAGTCAACCCACGTGGTTACGTAGTTCAAAAATTCAAATTGGCAAGTTTGACATGAACGACCACGAAGGAATCGATGTTGCGATCTATAGATCAGATTTTGTGCATTAAGAAACTCCATGACTCTCTGATTATTCTTTCCATACTACGAGTCAATATGGAAGTATGGCTAATGGGGCGGTAATTTGCTAGCTCGTGACGTGATCCCCCTTTGTGTCGGGGTAGGACGGTGGCCCGCTTCCACCTAGCAGGGTATACACCAGTCTTAATTGACAAGGTGAGTATGTTTAGCAAGAACAGGGAAATATCAGACCCGGCAAATGTAAGTGGTGCTGTTGGTATGCTGCCAGATCCAGGGTGAAAAGAATGCTATAGGGTGGCTTTTTGCCTGCTAATGCTATACAAGTGGAACCCAACTTATCTATTGTTTCACTGGTGAGTAGAGGCAATCTTCATTGTACTACACATTTGTGTGTATTAAACGACGAATATAAATGTTTATTAAATAACTCGCAAAG